CGGATGCGGCGCGCGAGCTGGATGTCCTTGGGCATGATGGTGACGCGCTTGGCGTGGATGGCGCACAGGTTGGTGTCCTCGAAGAGCCCCACCAGGTAGGCCTCGCACGCCTCCTGCAGCGCCATGACGGCCGAGCTCTGGAAGCGCAGGTCGGTCTTGAAGTCCTGCGCGATCTCGCGCACCAGGCGCTGGAAGGGCAGCTTGCGGATCAGCAGCTCCGTGGACTTCTGGTAGCGGCGGATCTCGCGCAGCGCCACCGTGCCGGGCCGGTAGCGGTGCGGCTTCTTCACGCCGCCCGTGGCCGGCGCGCTCTTGCGGGCCGCCTTGGTCGCCAGCTGCTTGCGCGGCGCCTTCCCGCCCGTGGACTTGCGCGCCGTCTGCTTCGTCCGAGCCATGGTCACAAACTGCAAATACAGTCCTCAACTGAAACCGCAGCTGTTCTCGCTCCTATTTATAACGCCAAACTCCTCCTGATTGGTCCGAATGTTCAAATTTCGCGCCATGATTTAAGTAACGTAATCGGCCTGTGATTGGCTATCCGGTCCACTTTAAAAATTGAAAGGTGCTCGGTTATCTTTTCACTTAGGTCTCCGCCCTTGGCCCACCCTGTATTGAACGCGAAGGAATTCCTTAATTGGTTTTGTTTAATCTCCTTGATAATATCCTTAATTCCCTTGTTTTGGATTAAATTTGGGGGAAGATGAAAATGAAAGTTTCTCAACCTCAAAAAGTCTAGTTTCAATATGATCAACCCAGTCCAGTTTCGTCCTTTATAAAAGCTTCTGACTTGGAGACATGTTTCAGCAATACAAGCATCCTATTTCATAATTTCTAACCTTCCAACAAACACTTGCATTCCTTTCATATACTCTGTTCCCAGGTAACAGGAAAATCTCACCTTTGTGGAAATGGAATGGCTCTTTGAGTTTTAAAAAAGCTTAAATGTGCTGACTTTGATCAGACCAAAATGAGAATGCCAACAGCATAATTTTGAACACATTTAAATATGCAGCTAACTTCTAAGTGCTCTTTTCTAACTTTAGCAACCTGGCATCTAATTTGGCAAGGAACTATACACTCATGAACTTATATTACACTTTGTCTCTTTAGATCTAGATCGAGGGAGAGACAAGGTTCATAAATAGATACGATCGACAAGACATTTATTTCACTTTTTGCACTGCAGTGAATATGAAAACTTTTCTAAGGGAGGGAGGAGAAAGGAATCCAGGGCTGCTTCCTCATAAACAGCCAGTCAATAAGTAGCTTAGAAATCGCCTTGATTGCGTAAAACGTTCCTATTGGGTGATTTCATCCAATCAGGGATTGGATTCGATTAAGCATCTATTTGCATAGAAGCCTTACAAATGTAGGCCAGCCTCGCAAGCAACCCTCATTCTGCTGGTTTTCTGTCAGAGAACCTTGCACCATGCCTGAGCCGGCCAAGTCCGCGCCCGCCCCGAAGAAGGGCTCCAAGAAGGCGGTGACCAAGGCGCAGAAGAAGGACGGCAAGAAGCGCAAGCGCAGCCGCAAGGAGAGCTACTCGGTCTACGTGTACAAGGTGCTGAAGCAGGTGCACCCCGACACCGGCATCTCGTCCAAGGCCATGGGCATCATGAACTCCTTCGTCAACGACATCTTCGAGCGCATCGCGGGCGAGGCGTCGCGCCTGGCGCATTACAACAAGCGCTCGACCATCACGTCGCGGGAGATCCAGACGGCCGTGCGCCTGCTGCTGCCCGGCGAGCTGGCCAAGCACGCCGTGTCCGAGGGCACCAAGGCCGTCACCAAGTACACCAGCTCCAAGTAGACGCGCAAGTAAGCGGCTTGTCTCCTACCCCAAAGGCTCTTTTCAGAGCCACTCACATTTTCACATAAAGAGCTGTAATGTGTGGGTGCTGTTGTCATCTTGCAGGAAAGGCGTGCAGATTTGTGGGGACAAATTGAACAATACATTTTTGAAGAGGTAGTTTTTAGAGGTCATACTGTGCTCTTCGATTCTGATGTAACTCATTGATTGGATAATAAGGTGCTGTACATCTGGTGATACAAGGTACTCATTTCTAATAAGTATAAGGGATTGGGTGGGACTGGAACCAAAATGAGGTCCATGGAAGAGTAACTTAAACCCCTAGGAAGTAACTAGGACTTAAGGCTTCTTTGATAAAGATTAACTAGGTTTTATGAGAGAATGGAGGAGAGGGAAACCTGAAACAGGTGAGAACAAGGCCTCTTTGTTGTGAGTAACATAATGTCTTTTGCCGGGGCAGTCTACCCTTCAACAGGCTGCGAATCAACAATACGTTTTCAGCTGTGGATTTTCAAGATACCTTGATTAGAAAGCATGTAGATATCTGAAATGTTGGTCTCTAAGTTCCATACTCATGGTCATTTCTGTAGGAGTTGGGGAGGGGTTGGTGCAGAGGAGTCTTAAGGTCGAGTTAGCATTGCCAAATGCTGAATTGATTTAACTTTAAATTTTCAAGTTCCTTGGAGGCAGTTCTGGAAGGAAGGTGTAGTGAGAGATGGCAAGGGAAGACACAGCAAGATAGAGGAATTACAAAGATGTGCAGAATTCAAATTCCAATTTATGGACTATAGTTAACAGCAGACTGAAGTTATTTCATCCAATATGTTTGCCCTATTGCAGAGATACAGGGCCAAGTACACAGCCTCCCATCTGCTAGGCCACTTTGCTCCTCAGCCCTGGTTCTCAATTCCACCCTCAGCAGCGAAGAAATTCATTGGGGGAAAGGGGAAGAAGAAAGATGTGAAACTTGAAACCAAGGATTCAAGCATTATGACTGTCCCATTTGTAATCTATCTGAAATGTGTTAATTTGCCCAATCTCTTTCCCCTTGTTTCTTGCTGTATGTTTAAAACTTATTCAATAAAATTAAATCATGGAACTCGAACTTCAATTGGTCTGTAAGCATTTCTCTTCCATGACTGACCTTGGAAATGGCCGGCCTGGCAGTGGATTTGGAGGCTACCATTGCAGTAAGGTAATTTCCTACCTTTAAAAAAAATTTAAAAATATACATATTTATATCTTTATTGATTTCAGAGAGGAAGGGAGAGGGAGAGAGCTGAAATATCAATGATGAGAGAGTCATAATTGATTAGCTGCTTCCTGCACACCCCTGACTGGGAATTGAGCCCACAACCCAGGCATGTGCCCTGACTGGGAATCGAACCAATATCTGGATCCTAGGCCGACACACTCACCCACTGAGTGTTGCTTGGCTGGTCCCCACCATTTTTTTGAAACCATGTGAGATGGTATAATTTCACCTTTGGTAAAAATAATGGCGATACATAGCTGCAAAGGAAGCCTATGGTGTTTAATTACTAAATAAGAAAGGAAAATCAATTTCAGGGGACATGGCAGTCCCTGCCACAGGTTCATGCCTAAAGGCACTATACACAAGAGGGAAAATTAATAAGTTCTTAAGTCTTCAAAAGAACACAAATTTTCCAGTACAACAAAAATGAATTGTAAATTCTGGCAAGAAATATTTCATTAGGAAAGAAAAGAAAATAATTTAATTCTAACAAGAGTTGTACTATCATTTTGAGGTGAGTAATGCTTGAGGTCACTGGGAGTCCAAACGTAGCTATGTGCAATCAGTACAGGGCTCTGGAAATCAGGAAAATGCCTCAAAATGTGGAGGGAGGACTGCATGGTCAGACTCAGTGCCTTCTATGAATGAGGTCAGACTGAGTTTGGAATCCAGTGACACCCTACTCATTTTAATATACATTCCAAATACAACAATACAGTACACAAGCTCCAATCCTACCTGCCTCAGTGCTGTCTTTTTTCTCAACTCATTTAGAAGACATACCAGTTCTAATGTGCAATTAACATTGAGACCTCAAATCCACAATGAAATCAAACTGTCTTAGGTGCACGATGTCATGGGTCATTGCTTTAGAGAACATTTAATTCTGTGATGGAAATAAGCAAGCAATTTCCAAACCCTTATTCCTGGTGAGAGTTCAGACACAGGCTGCTTTTCTTAATGTGACCAATTTAAAGAATAGGCTTCTAAAACTGGAATTCATGGGAATCCCTGAGGGGAACTTGGAACCGTGTACATCAAGGGGGCCTGGGTGGGTCTGAGACTACATTTCAAGCAAGGTCCAAGGGATGCCAAAACTGCTACTTGTCCCGACAATTCTTCAGGGCTCTGCATTCAGTTCTGCCACCAATAAGCTCATTAGAAATCCTGACTATCAATTATCAGTAAAACAATGCCTTCATTGTTGTGTGTGAAAGAAATATTTCACAGGGAAGCCAAAACTACTTCACTTTTAACTACACCGAGATTGGAATTGACATGAAAAAGCAAACATCAAAGATTTCCCCCCATAGCACTAAGTTTCCTGATGACCAGTGACCAAACATGTGGGAGCAAAGCTTTAAGACGGGTCAGTAGAAAATTCACACCCCAAATCCAACCATTTTTAAAGAACCTCATCTTTCATGTGTGCCTATATAACTAGAATTTCACACTCAATTACTGCTCCTTGCAAATGACTTAAAATACAATGAAACAACTTAGCCTATTGCCAAGCACCCCTTGGGACACCTGAAACTCATACTTACAACCTATTTCCCACTAGCCAGCAAAGCTCCTAACTTGGGGAAATTTTTGCACATAACCTATTCACTTGGGTTCACCGGAGAGGGCTGAAACATCAGAGGAAACTCTAAAACCAGCAGTCCCACTTCACCTCCACCTTATGAAAACAAATCTCCACCTAAATGTCCCAAATCAAACTACTTCAAATAAAATCTCAAGACACATTAAAACTGTAACTTAACACACAGAACTGGCAAAAAAAAAAGGGGGGGTGGAGTGGCCGTTAGGAGCCTTTGAGTTGGGTTAAATCAGTGCAGGAAAAGCCAGGTTCTGTGGCTAAGCATAGAACTTCGGTTTTCACTTTTAGTTCACAGCTTAGTTTCTGACAACAGTTTACCAACCACCCTAGGCTAGGAGTTCCTATTACTAATATGTGCATAAACCTGATTCCACAACTCCTGCGTTGATCGAGAGTTTCAGGACACTGCCTTTACTGGAGGAAAAGTGGAGAGCTACTAGGGGGTTACTCACTTTCACCTGCGCAAGGTATGTCTTTAGTGCCTTAGCGACAATGACATTTCTCCTACAGGATGCAGACACCTGTTCAGCACAATGAGTTTGTACTTACTTGAAAAAGATCTGAATTACTGGCAGGAACGAGATTTCGGTTCCACCCTTTTGCCTACAGCTCTCCAAATGGAAACAGTAGGTGGCTCTGAAAAGAGCCGTTGTGTTCAAGATTTCCACTCCCTAAGAGTTTACGCCCTCTCCCCGCGGATGCGGCGCGCGAGCTGGATGTCCTTGGGCATGATGGTGACGCGCTTGGCGTGGATGGCGCACAGGTTGGTGTCCTCGAAGAGCCCCACCAGGTAGGCCTCGCACGCCTCCTGCAGCGCCATGACGGCCGAGCTCTGGAAGCGCAGGTCGGTCTTGAAGTCCTGCGCGATCTCGCGCACCAGGCGCTGGAAGGGCAGCTTGCGGATCAGCAGCTCCGTGGACTTCTGGTAGCGGCGGATCTCGCGCAGCGCCACCGTGCCGGGCCGGTAGCGGTGCGGCTTCTTCACGCCGCCCGTGGCCGGCGCGCTCTTGCGGGCCGCCTTGGTCGCCAGCTGCTTGCGCGGCGCCTTCCCGCCCGTGGACTTGCGCGCCGTCTGCTTCGTCCGAGCCATCTCAAGAACAGAAAAGGGAAATACTAACTTCAGTAAAGAGAAAGAGGCATCCTTTATATAGCCTCAGAAACGTTCTGATTGGTTTTGCGCTTTTTCAAAAGCCCCGCGCAAACAAACCATTGGCTGAAAAGTAAAGATGGTGGTGATTGGCGAATTATTAGAAACTGGACGAACTGCTCTATGCCCCAATCCCTTCTCTTTAACAGTCTGTGATGAGTTAACTTTTTAATCTTGTTTCTTGTATTTCAGGTTGTAAATAGGGAACCTATTGGAGATTCTGGAAAGGTGCCAAATGACTCTAGATCTATATAGTGGTCTGAGGACCACGTGTAGAGGGCAGGTTTACTTGTATTGTTTTCCCTGTGACTTACTCTTGGACCAGAGGCAACAGGCAAACCACAGCCTACCACCCCCACCCGCAGGGCAGATCTGCCGACCTTGAAAACCGGGTTTTACCTTTGGTCTCTCTCCTCCCTAGAAAAATTTGACTTGCTTAACACTGAAGTCAAACTGCTTACTGGGGTTTATAATAAAAGTCCGTTACTTGCTTTCTTCTAATTTCAAAAAAATCTTTAAACATTCTCAAAAAGAAACCGTTTTTCCCTGAGCCACATTCAAGCTGAGTAGGGTTACAAGTACTCAGACAGTAACTCAGTAACTAAGTGAATGAGCTGTACTGACTATGGAGAGGTGGTTATGCCTGTAAAATATAGCACCAAGTACTTGCTCTTTTTATGTGACAATGTGTGGCTCTGAAAAGAGCCTTTTGGGTAAAATAAAAGGTGGTAGATTATAATCAGATATTTTAGTTGGTTCACTTTCCCTTGGCCTTGTGGTGGCTCTCGGTCTTCTTGGGCAGCAGCACGGCCTGGATGTTGGGCAGGACGCCGCCCTGCGCGATGGTGACCTTGCCCAGCAGCTTGTTGAGCTCCTCGTCGTTGCGGATGGCCAGCTGCAGGTGGCGCGGGATGATGCGCGTCTTCTTGTTGTCGCGGGCCGCGTTGCCCGCCAGCTCCAGGATCTCGGCCGTCAGGTACTCCAGCACGGCCGCCAGGTACACGGGCGCGCCGGCCCCGACCCGCTCCGCGTAGTTGCCCTTGCGCAGCAGGCGGTGCACGCGGCCCACGGGGAACTGCAGCCCGGCCCGCGAGGAGCGCGTCTTGGCCTTGGCGCGCGCCTTGCCGCCCTGCTTTCCGCGTCCAGACATNCCCGGCGAGCTGGCCAAGCACGCCGTGTCCGAGGGCACCAAGGCCGTCACCAAGTACACCAGCTCCAAGTAGACTCGCAAGTAAGCGGCGGACTCCTAACCCCAAAGGCTCTTTTCAGAGCCACTCACCTTATCTCAAAGATCTGTAACTCTCCTGACTTGGTGAAAACGTTTAAGGCAACCAGCGTCATGAAAACTAAACTGACACGAGTTTCTTCCTCATCTAGTTAGTAAAGACCTATGCAGCCTGACCAGTCATTTGCTACTAGAGTAACTGGCAAAGGAAACGTGGCCAAATCTGGTTTGATCTTTATTGATTTCAGAGAGGAAAGAAGGGAGAGAGAGAGAGAGAGAGAGAGAGAGAGAGAAACATCAATGTGAGAGTCATTGATCAAGCCCACAACCCGGGCATGTGCCCTGACTGGGAATCGAACCCCAGTCGCCTGGATCCTAGGTCCACGCTCAACCACTGAGCCACGCCTGGCCAGGCCTGGTTTGATCTCTTAATCTTGCACCGCCTGGAGCCTGTAAATTTGCTGTTTTCAGTTTCATTTTCTCCCCCAAGCCCACTAACGAACGTTTCCACAAATTTTTCACTGGAATTTATCACCTTAAATTGTTTCAAGTAGCTCAAATAGTACCTCTTGGCAAGCTTGTGGGTTGTTTGATCCGGTAGAGTTTTAAATTCAGTTTAATATTCAAGGGTAAAAGGAATAGCAAGATATCCTCAGGGTAGGAAAGAGGTATCTATTGTTAAGTACGTTTTTCAACTAGCTCTAATTCCTAAGCATTGATTGTGCCTCCAGGGGTCAGCTTCACTCAGGCCCCAAGATCTCCCAGAGTTCCCCATAAAATTAATCCGGAGTTAGTATTTTCTTTTTCAGTTACTTTTTCATTTCTTGGTACTTCAAGAGAGAAGGGTCATAGGATTTAAAATTTGTGTGCTCTTCAGCATGTCACTGATTTTTATTCTACAAACCTGTGAAGGAGTCTCCAGTTTTCAGGTCAATTGACCTTTCAGGCTGAGTACTAGCCCCTCACATAAATAAAACATCTGAATGCCCATCTGTCTAAGGACTGGTTTCCACAGTATTTGTTAGACTTATTCTCAAGGAAGAGGCTAGTTGTAATAGGAATGGGGAAACAGGCACAAAGGAAAATACATCATTAGAATAAAAGAAAAGTAAAAGTGGCCAGAGGACACATGTTCTTTGAGGCCCATTAAAGTTCTTATCAGCCAAATTTTCTTTAAAATGTACATCAGTTGGGATTTGGAATATAAGGATCACCTGGCAGCAAATCTAACTTCAGAGGACTGTGGTGTGAAGAGGGAACCATGGCCATTGACAGAGTAAACCTGAGCTAAAGATCTCATTTTCTACTTACAAGCTACATGTCTTTTTCTGGAAATGCCTACATAGCAGGTTTCTGTGAACATTAAATAAATGACTCAGCTTTGTAATGGAGCTTGTGAAGAAAATTCCCTGCAGCCCACATATAATTAAGGAATATATTTCTTGCTCTCCAAAGCAAATTTCAAATACATTTCTAAAACAATGTGTTCATGAAAAGAAACAAAAAGCTGAGTCTTTGCTTTATTCAAGGTAAAAAGAGAAAATGTTCATGTTGTGAAATGTGTTTCACCTTTAGGCTTGAAAAACTTACTTGTTAACTAGAGACATATTTTGATTTTTTCCCTACCTCTTTACAAGATAAACACTGTGTGTTCATAAAATACATATGCCTGTTGCAAGTGATCTCACCCTTTTCTTTATTCTAAAAAAGAAAGCCAGGATAGCTTTTAATTTTTTCAAAAAAAGTAAATAAAACAGAATTACTTTAAAAAGAAAAAAAATAAAAAATAAAAAAAAAAGGACAGGTTAAGGGGAAATCCCCCAGGGCAAGATACAGTCCTGCCTCCCTTTTTGAATGCCAAGTTTGGGCAAATTACTTAAACCCTCTGTGAGCATCATCTTACCTATAAAATGGGAATAATAATGAGGAACTACCACATGGCATTCCTGGGTGATCGATACAGAAACACAGGTAAATCACTTAGGATAGTGTCTTAGGAAAGAGACAGGCCTCCCAAATATTAGCTGTGGCTAAAGCCTCTTGTCACTGTTAGTGGAGGTGCCCTGGGTCCTGCCCACACTGAATCTCAGGGTCCAGAGACCTTGACCCAGAGCAGGAGGCCAAAAAGCCTGCTAACATTTGACAGCAATTAGGGTTCCTTGTCTGGCAGTGTGAACAACAATGCAAACCCCAACAGTCTAAGCCCTTCTTTAGGGCCATCTCTCCCCTGCACTGTTTTGAGGACATGCCAGTGCCTGTAAGACTTCCCTGCCTTGGATTGTCAATTCAAGCAAGCTGATTTTCAAGGCACCTTCGCGTGCCACACTAGAACTGGGGGCACCACGTAGTAGTCAGATGTGCTAGATTATAAGAAAGGGACTCCTGGTGATTTTTTTATTCCTTTTTTCTCCCCATGCCTCCCACTCCCTTTGCCTAACCCTCATGGTAGCATCCAGCCAGGATGAAGTATCTTCAGAAGAGCAGCTACACTTTCAAAGGTCAAAAGGGAACCAAGTCATTATTGTCCACAATCCTTCCCAAACTAGGAAAAGCCAGGGCCACCCTAAAGACTGACATAGGGTTGCCAACAATTTAGAAGACTGATGTCAGTCTTATTTCATAAAAGAACTATCCTTTTATCACCTCAAAGGTAATAAGCATAAACTCAAAAAAAGAAACCTTTGTACCAAGTAAATTGGGTCCTTGATACCAAATAAGTTGAATTTTAAAAATTTTTTTGAGAATGAGTGATTTTTAATCTGCAGGGAATTACATCCCTGGGTTTCCAAAGTCCCACTTCTCTTAATCCAGTCATAGAAGTGTAGCTGGGTGAATTAAATTGTAATAGTAAGAAAGACTTACTACACAGACTTTTTTTTTTGTCATTCTTACACAGAAGAGAGCTTGAACAAAAGCTAATACTGCCCTTGGATGAGCGTTTGAGAACCAGTAAATTGTACAGATCCCTTCATTTCAAAATTGAAAAATGTATCTCGGAATCAGCTCAGCTAATCAGAGGAGGGGGCAGAGTTAAGGCAGATTTCTTGGCTATTTCCCCTAAATTTGTATCTATTCTCACTTCCACATGTTGTAAGCAGTTATATTCTGTTCTAAGTAGTCCACACACTTATTGATAATAGGCTTATGAAGTAATCTACATAATGAAAGTTGTACTTATATATTATAGCAAAGCATCCTCTAGATGTGATCTGATACTTTTCCTATTTAAGTACTAGAGTCCATAGATGAGATTTAAAATTACTCCATTGATTTTTCCCTGTCTCAAAGTATCACCCCTAGATTGCCTGCTGGCCACAAGGAGGGAAAACCTGATTTTACAATCACCCTAAGCCAGTGATCAATTTATTAGCTCGAATTTGGATAAGCCTGACATCATGTGGCCCTGACATGGTGCAGCACTGTGTACATCATATCATCTATAAACTTCCTTGACAAGAAAACTAACATGATTTCAGTCACATCTATGGAAATCACTTCTACCTGGAAGGGCCTACAGGGTATAGATGTCCAATGAAAAGACCCCATCAGGAAACAGGACAAACCAGGACATCCTATAGGTCAGATCTCCAGCAAATCAAGGTCCGAAAAAAAAAGTTGAGGTTCAGGAAAGAGGAAAAGACTTAAGAAACCTGAGACAGAACCAAAGGTGTCATGATTGGATCCAACTCTGAGGAAACCATTATCTCTATGACATTTGGGGCATAATAGGGATTTTTAAATGAGCTGAGTATTAGATATTAAGGAATTTTACTTAAGTGTGGTGACATGAAAGTTTTATTTTTTAAATAGTGCATACTGTACTTAATAATTTGGGGTGTAATATCCTGTCGCTTGTATGTATACTTTTAAAACCGTCCCCGATCAGGGCACATACCCAGGTTCGGGCCCATCCCTGGTCCGGGTGCACATGGGAAGCAACCAATCGGTGTTTCTCTCGCAATCGATGTTTCTCGCTCTTTCTCTCCCTTCCCTCTCTCTAGAATCAATGAAAAGCTTATCCTCGGCTGAGGATTTAAAAAAAACAAAAAGGTATGTCTGCTCACTGTCGAGCTGGGCGACATCTGTGCCCTGGTGTTCACTGAGTAACGCCTCTTCTGCACTTTAATTTTGCACAAGTCAGGACTCTGGCAG